TAGCCAGGGTTCAAATCAACACACCAAATCAACCACAACCACTTGCTACCTGTGTGACTGAATAATTCAAACCTTTCTGCATCTCTGTTGCCTCATCTGAAAATGAAGAGATTATGCATACATACCTAGCAGTCTTATTTTGGGGATTAAATGAAGCAACACAGCAAAAAGCTGAGCAGTGTCTGACTCTTAGAAGAGGTTCAATAAACAGTAGCTAACATTAATCTTAAAGGATGATCAGTGGAGTCAAGCTAGGGCGATCATATCATTTATGATCTAAACCAGGATATTTCTGGGTGTGAAAGGGAAGACTGTATGGTAATTATATTGGATCAACTGGTGTATGCTAGGACAGTCCCAGGCATACTGGGACTTGTGTGACTACCCTGCCCCTAGCCCATACCATTCAAGACTCAATAAAGACATTTATTTTTTGCTTACAATTATATATTACACATTTTGCAATTTGTTACTCCTTTTAAAGTTCTTTCATACACCTTATTTGAACTTTTTTTAACTTTTCTTAAAATGTGGGAAAATATAGGACTGAATTACTTATCCCTTAATAATAAGCAAACAAAGTATAGAAAAAAAACCAAAAAAAGTATAGAATTTCCCCTAGTGACCCAGTGTTGCTGAGCAGTGGGGGACAGTATCCCATGACCTCCTCCGTACTTCCTGGCCTCCTGCCAGAGAGGCAGGGTCATGTAACTAGTCCTGACCAATGGCCTGTCACCTCTAGTCTTAAGCACTTAAGAGTGTGTGTGCAACCGGGCACGCTGGCTCACACTGGCAATCCCAGCACTTTGGGAAGCCAAAGTGGGAGGATTGCTTGAGCCCAGAAGTTTGAGACCAGCCTGAACAACATAGCAAGACCTCATCTCTATACAAAATTTTAAAAACTATTCTGTAGCATGCCTGTAGTCCCAGCTACTCAGGAAGCTCAGATGGAGAATCCCTTGAGCCCAGGAGTTCAAGGCTGCAGTGAGCCATGATCACGCCATTGCACTCCAGCTGGGGCAACAGAGCAAAACCCTGTCTAAAAAAATGAATGGAGCTGGGCATGGTGGCTCACACCTATAATCCCAACACTTTGGGAGGCTGAGGCAGATGGATCACTTGAGGCCAGGAGTTCAAGACGAGCCTGGCCAACATGGTGAAACCCTGTCTCTACTAAAAAATAAAAAAATTAGCAGGGCGTGGTGGCACATGTCTGTAATCCCAGCTACGCAGGAGGTTCAGCTGGGTGGATCCTTTGAGCCCAGGAGTTCAAGGCTACAGTGAGCCATGATCACACCACTGCACTCCAGCTGGGGCAACAGAGCAAGTCTCTGTATAAAAAAAAAAAAAAAAGAATGGAGCCAGTGCAATGGTTCACACCTATAATCCTGGCACTTTGGGAGACCAAGATGGGTGGATCACTTGAGGCCAGGAGTTCAAGACCAGCCTAGCTAATGTGGCAAAACCCCCATCTCTACTAAAAATACAAAAATTAGCCAGGTATGGTGGCGCATGACTGTAATCCCAGCTACTTGGGGGGGCTGAGGCAGGAGAATCGCTTGAACCCAGGAGGCGGAGGTTGCAGAGAGCTGAGATTGCGCCATTGCACTCTAGCCTAGGTGACAGGGTGGGACTCTGTCTCAAAAAAAAAGAATGGGTGTACGTTCTCAACCCTTTCCTTCACATGTTGCAGCAGCCAGGAAGCCATGTTTTGAGATGTAGATATCACAAGATGGAAGAGGCCTGGGACCTCAAAATACTGGAGGCAAGAGAGCTACACTGGCCCAATCCCTGGGCAAATGAGACATAAGTTTTTGTTGTACTAAGCCCCTGAGATGTGGGATGTACTTCTTTTTAAGACGGAGTCTCGCTCTGTCACCCAGGTTGGAGTGCAATAGCGCGATCTCAGCTCACTGCAACCTCCGCCTCCTGGGTTCAAGTGATTCTCCTGCCTCAGCTTCCCGAGTTGCTGGGATTACAGTCACCCACCATCATACCCAGCTGACTTTTGTATTTTTGTAGAGATGGGGTTTCACCATGTTGGCCAGGCTGGTCTTGAACTCCTGACCTCAGGTGATCTGCCCGCCTCAGCCTCCCGAAGTGCTGGGATTACAGGCGTGAGCCACTGCGCCCAGCCAGGGTATACCTTTTACCCTAATATACTACTGCCTGCCCTGGCTCAGCCGGTTAGTAAGATTAGAACCCACATATTTTACTATAGTTTTCATTCAACAGTATCATAAAATCCTACCAGATTGGGAAAAAGCATTGCCAAGATTAAATGCCATAGCTTACTCATGGTAAGCCTTCAAGGCTTACTTGATTTAAAACAAAATATTTATTTGGTTTAAAATAAAATCGTTCACACCCAGAGCCAAGTAAAAAGAAAAAAGTTCCAAAATGCAAGGTTTGTTTTAATTTGGTGCTGATTTATTCCAACATTTAGGTTAATCCAAGAAGTCTGGATGCCTCATCTTACAGACAACCCTAAGATGAAATGGCCTCATGTTGCATCTAGGTTTTATTTTAAGTTAAAAAGATGAATGGAAATATCCAACTAGAGTGTGACCAATTCGCTATCTCACTCCAGAAATTCCCTCCCTTCCGCTCTTTCCTATTCTAATTCTACTCATCCTTTCAACCTATTTTCTTAATGGGGAGAAAGCTCCACACATCAAATTTCGCAAACACTTATGTCACACAATTGGCTAGGCCAGGAGTTGGCAAGCTTTTTCCATAAAAGACCATAGGGTAAATATTTCATGGTTTCCATTGCACTTATTTAACTCTGCCATTGTAAGGGCAACAACTGCCACAGATAATCCAGAAATGAACAAACATGGCTCTGTTTCAATAAGATTTTATTTAGGGACACTGAAATTTGCATTCCATATACATTTCATGAGGCACAAAATTTTATTCTTTTAATTTTTCCCAACCACTGAAAAATGTGAAAACCATTCTTAGTACATTGGCAGTGCACAGACAGGCGGCAGGCAGTAACTTGGCCCCTGGGCCGCCTGTGGTTTACCAACTCCTGGTCTGGTCTTAGGAGGGGTAGCAACAATCTATTAGGCAAGTTCTGCAGTGGGAGGAGAACACAAATACTGCGATTCTAGTTCTTCCACTTCCTGGTGGCTGGTGATCCCAGGCTCTGACTCCAGAAGGCCCAAGCTTCTGCACACCTGTGTCCAGGAAGGCAGATGGTGCGTGGCCAGGCAGGGCCCAACTGGCAGCGATGGGGTTCTCAGCTGGCAACTCTCAGTGGCACCTTTAAGACCCAGGACAGGCCAGGTGCAGTGGCTCATGCCTGTAATCCCAGCACTTTGGACAATGTGCCTTGGGAGGCCAAGGCAGGCAGATCACTTGAGGTCAGGAGTTTGAGACCAGCCTGGCCAATATGGTGAAACCCCATCTCTACTAAAAATACAAAAATTAGCCAGGCGTGGTGGCGGACGTCTGTAGCCCCAGCTACTCAGGAGGCTGAGGTAGGAGAACAGCCTGAACCTGGGAAGCGGAGGTTGCAGTGAGCAGAGATGGTGCCACTACACTCCAGCCTAGGCGACAGAGCAAGACTGTCTCAAAAAAAAAAAAAAGGCCCAGGGCAGTGAAAGCCACCACTGCTTCCACCAGCTAAACAAAGGGCAGCCCTGGGGAAGAGTGAGGGGTGGACAGGATCCACTGCATCATGCCCAAATTAATCAGGGCACTTAGCTGCCATCCCTGACTGTAGCTCCAGCCCTCCCCCTTGAGACCCTCCCTGAATTCTGGCTTTCAGAACCCTCTGGATGCGCTCCCAGCCTTACTTTATAAATGCGTGTTCTTAACTTACGCTTCCTCCCCTGCAGCTCCACTTCTCAGAATCACCCCTTGTGAATCACCAGGTATTGACCTCACAGAGCTCATCCCAGGGCCCTGACAAGCCCCAAAGGCCAGGCAGAGCTCAGAGGGGAGGGTGGCAGGTGTGTGAAAGAAGAGTAAATAATCAGGTAGACAGGCAGAGGCAGGGTGTGGACAGGCCCAGAGAAGCAGAAAAGATCAGCAAAGCAGTGGCCAAGCCAGGGTGGGGGCAACAGAAACCACTGTCCCTAGCAGGACACTGCCAGCCAAAGCCCCTCTGCAAAGGGAAGGTAGAGTTTCCCCAACAGGCTCCACTCCAGGATCCTTAAGGGACCCCTGACGGGGAGTCTGGTTCTAGGTGGGCCAGAGGATCTGGGTCCTCTAGACCTTCTGATTGAGGCAGTCAGGCCCTCACTGCCTGGGCTCACGGTGGGTTCATTCCTGTCTTTCCCTCAAGGCTCAATGCCACGCCTCTTCCTTCTGCCTGGCCAAATGATCCACAGCAACAAAGCCCAACTGAGGCCCTCCCTGGTCCATGAATTCTTCCCTAATTATTTCAATCCCAATCCTCAAAGCTTCTCCATTCCCTGAACCAAGGAACTACCACTAGTTCACAGCCCTGGCCCTAAGCTTAGCACCATCTGCCATTTTCTTATGAGTGAATCAACTTTGCCTAAACGGTGGGCTCCCTGAGGAGAGGAGCCAGTCTTCTACTTCTCCATCCCCACCTGTCCCAAGAACACACAACAGATACTCAATACTTACTGAACGCAACTAAAAGTGCAACATTAGAAAGATTAATACAATTAAAGTAAAACATGAGATTGTGGCAACAAAAATAATTTAGAAGCTAATTTCTATGTGAAAATTCCCAGCAATCTTCCTGTGGCTTTGTATTTCTACGACTTACACCAGAATTTTAAATAAAGATGTGATTCAATGTTTTTAATCATCTTAATGCCTAAATTGGATTGACCACATTGTCAAGTCTGATCAGCTGCATAAATTGATCATTAAGAAGACTGGGGGAGGCGGGAGAGAATACCAGTTGATGGAGAAATAATCAATTTGGCATTTGCATTTAAATATAGCTTTGGCATTTCATTTATTCAGCGCAGTCTACGTAAGGCATGGCGAACTGGGGAAGGCAGTGTAATTACCTGAGTCGGAATGGGTCCAGGAAACTGAGGTCAGCATTGCTCCCGTCACAGAAAGGACAGAGGGGCCTCCATAATCACGAGAACGCTGGTCTTCTAGAGGCTGCTGGAGAGAAACAGTAGGAAGTCAGAATGAAGCAGAAGCAGCAGAGAGGGCCCTCGCAACCACAATGGATGCCATCTCTGGCCTGACTCTAGAAAATGACGCACTTCAGTGAAAAAGCAATTGTAACAGTACCTCTTTATTTCTTGGATCGTTATTAAAAGACTGGATCTTTCACTATGGAGTGTTTTTAAACTGTCTCATGGGGCATAAGAAGATCCAGAAATTTGAAGATACATGCCATCTCAATGTGAGATTATTTTATTTTGCTACAACTGCCACTGAGACATTTGTGAGATCATTTTATGTACTACAGCTGCTACTCAAACACTTGTCTACATAAAGGAAAAACATCAGAGCACCCACAAGCACTCAAGGCCAGCATTCCACCCCACGGACCAGCCTTGATCCCCAGGGTAGACCAAGTGCACAGGCTGCAAAGTCGATGACTCTATTTTATTGTAAAATGAAATGTCTCTGGCTCTACTCCTCACTAAATGGGCTGCAAGTTATTAGGCCATGGTTAACCAGTAATCTTGCAAAATAGGAAAGCTGGTCCATGAGACAGATTGCATAATAATCTCTGAGAGAAGATATCTTTTTAACCGGGGCCTCAAGGATAACAAATCAATGAACTCTCTAATGAAATGAATGGTATTAACCTACGCGCTGTCGTCTGAGAATGTTAGGAGTATATTAATGAGATCGGCGGTTCCCAAACTGTGGGTCCTGGAACAGCAGCATCAACATTGACTGAGAGTTTGCTGGAAATGCAAATTCTTGGCCCCTACCCAGTACCTACTGAGTCAGAATACATTATCCAGAAGTAGGGCCCAGAAATCTGTGTTTTAATAAGCCCTCCAAGTGATTCTGATATACCTGAGATCATTAATTTATCCACCCATACAAAGCCATTCTGTTGTAAAATAAAATCACCCTACTCTACTTTGTGCTTAAGCTCCTGGAAGGGCAAAGCGTAGAGCTAGGGATTGCATCGTGGAGGGATGAAGAGTCAGAGACGATAAAGAACCTGCCCTCGAGAAATGTATTGTCCACTATGGAAAATAAGACACATCCACAAGCAACTCAAGTACTGGCAGACCGTGTTATTTCCTCTAACAGCTGGAGAGCGTCAAGACAAAGGAGATATTTGTTTCCGTGTGGGGTGAGGAGTGGGGGATGCCACGAAAGGCAGGCATCGTGAAGACAATAATAATGGCCTTGAGATCAGGACAGGATTTTAACAACAAAAACCAGACAGCAATCGAAGCAAAGGCCCAGAGGTTGGAAAGTGTGAGGGCTATTCGGGGGCACGAGGCAACCAGGTCTGGCTGATACACGAGAAAGTTGAAGGTGATCTGAGTGAGACAAGGTTACTTCCAAGTGCAGACAGGTAAGAGCGAGGGGCTCTTCTTCTGTTTTTTCTTTTTGAGACAGTCTCCCTCTGCTGCCCAGACTAGAGTGCAATGGCACAATCTCAGCTCACTGTAACCTCTGCCTCCCAGGTTCAAGTGAGTCTCCTGCCTCAGCCTCCCCAGTAGCTGGGATCACAGGCGCCCAACACCACCCTGGGCTAATTTTTGTATTTTTAGTATAGACAGGGTTTCGCCATGTTGGTCAGACTGGGGGCTCCTCTTTTTCAAGTAAAGGCCACCCAGCAGGCACCAGTGGCTTATGTTTAATTGATGTCTGGGCTAGGCATGGCGACTCACACCTGTAATCCCAGCACTTCTGGGAGGCGGAGGTGGGCACATCGCTTGAGCTCAGGAGTTCAAAACCAGCCTGGGCAACAGGGCAAAACCCCATCTCTACAAAAAATACAAAACAAAACAAAAAAATAGGTGTGGTGGTGCATGCCTGTGGTCCCAGCCACCTAGGAGGCTGAAGAGGGAGGCGTATCTGATCTTGGAGGTCAAGGCCACAGTGAGCCAGGATCGTACCACTGCCCCATCTCAAAAAAAACAAAAAAACAAATCTACATCCAGTTTTCTTTTCTATACTTTTGGCAGTGCATTTTCTAGAGGGAAGAACTGCAACTGCTTCACGGATTAACAGCAGAAGGTTTGTCCTGGAGGAAGAACGCACGCACAAAATTTTAAAGTAGATACAAGAATCTGGAAGTCACAGTCGCCTCGGACCATTCTGCAAAGGGGCAAAATGTTACCACGCCTCGACAGCCCCTGAGAACATCTCTGGTTTTAGCTTTAAAAAAATACTGTCATTCAAGTTGAGACGGGCATGACTTAATCACCAAAAAAATTAATACACCTCCAATTAGAGGAAAAAATACTTTTCATGATCAAGTGGGTATGGCTTTGCTTCTAGAAAATGGACACAAATAGGTTTCATTTCCTGATGTTGGTAGGTGAACAAGGGGGTACTGAAAATGCTTTTCATGTCACACCAAGGCTCGGATTGAAATGAAGCTGGATTCAGAATTGGCAGTCTCTGCTTACCCATGCCAGCTTTGCCACTCAACTTTCTGAGTCATTATGGACAAGGCACTAAACCCCCTCAACCTCCGTTTTTCATCTATCAAGAAAAAGAGGCACCGACCTACCCCACCTTCTTGGAAATTTCAATAAGAAAATAGAAATGAAGTTGCCGGGAAAATTATAAAGTACCATACTATATAAAGGTATAGAATTATCATCCTCATCGAGGCATTTGGCTACTAATTAACACTTGTTATCCTATCGGCCTTTGAAAATATAAAAGCAACATGTTTCGATGCCCTTGAGATTCTCCTTTTAAATATGTGCAGATACAGCAGTTCTGAGGAACAAACTTGGCATCAACCAAACCATTCTCTCAAGAAGCATTTCAAGGTAAATCTTTTACTTGTAATTAAAAAAAAATTTTTTTTATTCCTCTAATCACGATAGAGCATCCAGTTATCTTTTAGCAGCTCCTGGTGAACACAACTCAGTCTTCGGCAACACCGACATATACAATGGCAATAATTTATCATCTCTGCAGTAGTTTAGTCCCAGATGGACCATTTACTAATTTATTTCCATATGTAACTGGCAGAGAGATTAATCAGGCTTCCAACTCGGAAACCTGAATTGAGCTTTATTCCCTTAACAGGCTAACTCTGGGCAGAAGAGGCAGACATTTACACAGAAACCAAGAGTTCCTCTTAAAAAGCCTGTCAGCCTCAGATGCAAGCCTTACACACACACACACACACGCATGCACACACGCACGCACACGCATGCACACACACGCACGCACACACACGCATGCACACACACGCATGCACACACACGCACGCACACACACGCACGCACATCTCTCTTGAGACAGCTTGCTCCTATGTCAGCTTGGAGGGCTGGTTCTTTCCTCAGATCCTCATGGACTCCACACAGGAGCTGTGTCTGATACAACTGCAGGCAGAAGTAAAACGTAACGCCAAATGCAGTAAAGTTGCAGCCACATTCCCCTCCCTGTCTGCAAGGTCGGAGGCTCAGATTTCTGAAAACGAAGAGATCTTTTTGCAACAGTACTGCACCCAGCTGGCCCGGCGATGCAGTGCCCAGGCGCTGGGAGGCATGTGCTTTCTTTTTTCCACTCTTTTTAAGGGTCTGAACTTGACTGAATTCAGCAGCTGCCGTGTCCTCAGCGATGGCTAATGAATTGTTAGCTTTGCTCCCAGTTCCCCTGAGCTCAACTCCCAGTCCACTTTTGTTTTTAATTCTATCCCAATGATATCAGTGTTTAACATAGAGTGGTGAACGAATTGTTGTTGGATGACGGTGTTTACATATAGAAAGCAAGCCAGACATGGGCAGAAAGCACCAGCTGATCCCTGATGCCTTAAGTGGAACCCACGGCCATGCCAAGAAGGTCTGGCAGACAGGAGCGTGTGGAGGTATTGTCGGCTAAGCTAAGTCCACACACCTGGGGCGTTAACCAACTCTCTCGCTTTGAAGAAGTCACTTGATGGTTCAGGTTTAAAATTCTCTCCTCTATGAATTTAGTTCCCTGAGGTTCCTTCTGGCTCTAAAATCTAATGATTCTATGAATATGAAAAAGATCAGCCATTCACCTGGTTTGTTCTATGTGTTTAGCCGATGACAAACAGCAGGAAGTTTGGAAGCATCTGAAAGTGGCTGAATGGGTCCAGATGCTTTTGGTGCTGTGACAGACATAGCCTTTGGAATCTCAGCAGCCAACAGATTCCCTTTGCACAAAGAACAGAAGCATTTGACGACTGGTCCACAATGTATATCTTTACAAGGTTTTAAGAATTCAATTAAATACAAGAGTTCCATTACAGTATTATTCTAAGTATGGCGAATCCTACAAAAGTACATATGTCATGGCCCTTGTCTTTAATACATTGACATATTAGTTAAGGAGATACACTGCTAATCTCTCTTTTTTTTTTTTTTTGGAGACAGCGTTTTGCCCTTGTGGCCCAGGCTGGAGTGCAATGGCGCGATCTTGGCTCACCGCAGCCTCTGCCTCCCGGGTTCAAGCGATTCTCCTGCCTCAGTCTTCTGGAGTAGCTGGGATTACAGGCATGCGCCACCATGCCCAGCTAATTTTGTATTTTGTTTGTTTGTTTGTTTTTGTTTTTGTTTTTGTAGAGACGGGGTCTCTCCATGTTGGTCAGGCTGGTCTCAAACTCTGACCTCAGGTGATCCACCCGCCTCGGCCTCCCAAAGTGCTGGGATTATAGGCGTGAGCCATTGTGCCTGGCCACTGCTAATCTTAATACAATGCAATATGTGCCACAATCATTGACAAAGAAATGGTTAAGTCAACATGGAGGATGGAGAACTCATTTTAGTGAAAGGGGGAGATCTGTAAGGTTTTGCAGAGGAAGCGGAATTTAAACTGGGCTTTGCAAAGCAAAGATGGGACTATAGACATCCGGACAGAGGTAACAGTGAAAGCAAAGGCCGATGTGCTTCCAAGTGTGGTCAGGGCACAGTATTCAGGACCCAAGGACAGGGGCACAGGATGCCCAAGGAAAAGAAGACACAGTGAGACGAGAGGCTGGAAAGGAACTCAAAGTGGAAAGCCCTGGATGCCAACCTTTCATCCTGTGGTCTCTGGGAATCTTCAGAAGTTCCTGGCAATGGAGACTCCAGATGAGCCCTGCCTTGGGGCTTTCTTCGGACCATTTACCACCATTGATGACTGGGAATAAGATCCGTCCGTACCTTCATGTTTCTCTTAGTCATTCCACCTTGCCACTATTTGGGAATCCCTCAGATTTATTTTTTTTCTAAATCAATTTCCTGGCCCTTTGAATGGAAGCAATTGAGTTTCCTCTAAGTACTGCCAAGATTTCACATTCCGATGACGAGTTCGGCCTAGCGCTTTACATTTAGGTTCGTGTGTTTTTCTATTCTTACGAAAGACTTAAAATAGCATAGACGGGTGTTTTGTTTTCATTTGTTTCTACACTGGAAAATATTTCTGTATGATGAAAAAAATACACAAACGTCCTGACTTTTGGAAGGGCCTGCTCCAGCACTTCCCAAAAAACAAAAGTTTAACTAGTCATCCAAGCCGTTCACTGAAAGTTTTTTGCTCTCCAGTGTCAGAGTCCCAGGTTATTGAGCCCAAGTTTTCCAAGGTCCTTCAAACACAATAACAGAACGTCATGTAAACTCTCTCCTACCAATGCTATTTGGTCCCCTCAGCCTGGGGGTGCTAAGCACACATAGTATTATGCAGCTTTCACACGGAGAAGCCCCAGGATACATGGGGCACACACCAGGCAAGCCAGGGCATGGGGACGGGGGTCTGCCCTCCCATCTACCCCAAAGATGGGTCTTAAAACTCCACTGAAGTGGGGGGTACAAGTGGGCAGAGCAGCTCTTCCTCTGAGAATGGAGCTGCCTTCGGTATGAATCACCACTAAAAAGTTTCCCAAGGTTTGCACCTATACTCTCAGCACTTTGGGAGGCTGAGGCAAGAGGATGGCTTGAGCCCAGGAGTTTAAGACCAGCCTGGAAAATATAGTGAGATCTTTTAATCGGGCATGGTGGCGTGTGCCTGTAGTCCCGGCTACTTGGGAAACTGAGGCAGAAGGATTGCTAGAGTACAGGAGGCAGAGGTTGCAGTGGGGCGAGATAGCACCGCTGCACTCTGGCCTGGGCGACAAAGTGAGACCCTGTCTCAACAAAATACAATAAAACCAAAAAACAACTCCCATAGAAGATACAAATTTCACTTCCCATCTCTGGATTGCTCAGACTACACATGGGCATATATGGAAAACTTCAACATTGATTTCATTTATCAACTTATTTAGAAAGGCACACTGTATCTACTCACTGGGGTGTGGTACATTCCAGGGTTCAAGTCCCTGGTTTATAATCTAAAACCCGTCCTAGCCCTCCACATGCACGGGTGCTCGGAAGCTCCGAGTCCCTCAGAGGTATTCTCTTAACATCTAATCAAATAATGACTATGAAGAATAATATGCAGTACATACTGTTGATAGTTCCCTGTGCACATACAAAAATAGTCTCATACAGCCCAAAGAGCTGTCTGCATCGCTTTTTCTAAAAGTCCACCTATGGTCGGAAAACTAACCTTCTTCAAATGAATAGATTAGCTTAAATTACCATGCCATTTTACATTCTCTTCACTGATACACGAATAATAAAACTATGAGGTAAATGTAGGCTTAAATCGAATAATGGGCATAAATAAAAAAATTTTTGACATTAAAAACTCAGTATAAATTGAACTACAAGATACTTGAAAGCTCCCACAATCATAACATGCACATTGAAATCCATTAACCTAATACCTAGGCTGCTATTCAAAAGTAGGGGTCTAGCAGGCAAATAAATACTCATTTGAACACTCCTCCTAAATTACTGTACAATTTGGTTGCAAAGTCACACACTTACAAAGTCTATCATCTTTACTTGGTTGCTCTGTAGCCAACACTGAAGTCATATCAGGTTACAATGTGGCAGCATGAGATCAACACAGATACCAGCAAATGGTACTAAAAAGTAGCAGCAAATGTCAAAGACAAACCAGGGTCAGCTTGGAGAGAATGAGATATTTACATAAGCTTTCGGAAAAGACAATGGAGCCCCGATTTCCCCTTAACTGCACACCTAATCAACCTCTCTGCTCCTCACCTGATCATTCTGATATAAAAGCAATTTCTACAGTGATACATTCAAAGACCTTAGTTGCCATAAACTCAGCAGCTGTTAAAAAGATTCTGTTGCACATTCGATTTGCTTTGAGACTCAGCTATTTCCAACCAAAGCTTTCATTTCTTATCCATCACTACCCCCCTGCAAAAAAAAAAAAAAAAAAAAAGCTTCATTAACAATATCCTTCTTTGACAAGTCATCTGCCAAGTCCATTTTCTTACCTTTGTAACTCACATTTTTTTCATTTGAGGATATTTACCCAAGCAAGGACAATTGTTTGACTGGAATCTTGCAACTTTCAACTTTGCCCAGATTTTGCCATCGTGCAGAAGGGGAATGCCGCAACCCCCGACACATCGTTCGGTTGAGCTAATACACATCTGAATCCAGGGCTATATTTTAAATTCTTTTACACTTACTTAATATAGTGCATGCCGCCTGTCCACTGATGCGATATCAGAAACCTGCAAGCTACTATTTCTGCAACTGTGTCACTGTAGATAGTCTGAAACATGTACGTAGCTGTTGCCATGGAAACAAACACAGCTAGGGTAGAGTGCCACGCTGTGTTAATTCCTTCACCCATGAACCCCAGGGGAATGCTAACATTCATCTTCTTTCTCCTTTAGTCTCACACTGCTTTAATATTTTTTTAGCATTATCAAATGATGTACTAAATACATATGGTACACCTGAAAATACGGATGGCTGAAACGAGCCGTGGTACCAACCTAGCCTGCCGGCTGTCTGCTTAAGGTGGTGCAGCTCTGTAATGGATCCTTTCCTGAACTTCTCCTGGGAGAAATAAAGAACTTTGTCTTTCTTTTAAAACGGTGTAGGAAGGACAGAAAAGGTGAGCATCTTGTCTCCCCTAAGAAGAACAGTTATCCTGGAATTGTACCGGAATAAAGATGCTATCAGAAATGTACCTTCTCAGTTCTCTGAAAGGCAGAGGGAGGCCTTGCAAACTTTCTGAAGTGGATCCAAGCTAAGAGTTATTCTCCCTTCCAAGTAGAGCTGCATTAGCAGGCTATAAACCCAATAGTTTTAATTAGGCAAAAGCATAAACCCTTAACAAGGGATTCATCTGTCCCCACTTGGTCTTGATTCCTAAACCCATGCAAGAAGGTATTAAAATGAGTGAGTAGGCAATGAGATGGAAATCTGCCATTATTCAGAAAGAAATGTGATTTTCCTGGAATTTGAACATTCTCTTTTTTGCTTCAAGTTCATATCTCTGCCCTTATCGATGCTTGGACCTGTGGAGAAAAGTCAAACTCTTTCCCTGCACCTAAAAGCCAAAATGTATGCTTACTGGTGCACTGGGCCACCTTCTCATTATTCAACTGGTAAACCGCTTTAAATATTGGGGTTATACTCATCACAGTAGACAAAAGTAAGCTGTTCAAAATCTTAATTACATCATATCCCTTGGGCTGGTTAATAATATTCAATCTAGATGAAAATGGCCACGTTTTAGATTTGCATGCTGATGTGTTTCACTTGAATACAATTTTCGCACTAAACAATCAATTGTAAGCTTTAAAAGTGCAGCTCTGTGACCTCGAACTGGCATATTTTAAAGAAACCACTACTTTATTTGTGGAGATTATGGCAAAATTAGCCTACAAAAGATGAGCAAACTTTTTCTGTTATTTTCCTAAATTGAATCATGCTTGGCTATTTACTATGATAATAATAATAAACTCATTCCTAAAATAAAGCAGAACAGAAAATGAATATATATACACCTTACTGGTTAAAGAAATTCATCACTTTTTAAAAGCAATCTCAAAAATATGTTAGGGTCCAGTAGAAAGCCTAGTCTTCAAGTATTAGCAGGGCAGGTAAGGATTACCCTTTAACTAATCATGACCAGTATTTCAGAGGCAGAACCACAGCAATGAGAATGAAAACTGCAGTCCCTTCCATTAACTTTGCACTTCTGCCTCTTATTTGCTTCAAGTTCAAATCTCTGCCATTATCAATGCCCTTGCATTCTTCTAATATCACAAAGCATTTTGACGTAGGTTATTTCATTTGACTATCAAGGGAGTTCCATGAATTATCTTGGCAGGTATTACCCATCTCATTTCACAGAAGATACAATGAGGCTCCAAAAATCAGCAACTGGTCTGAGGCCACTGGGTAAATGTCAGAACCTCGCCTGGGTCACCTGATCCAGTGCTCTCTGTAGGGGCCGTGCTGCTCCTAAGCGTGCTCA